CTTTAATTAAAAAAAGATAATTTATAAAAAATACTAACAAGAAAAAAAAATAAAATCTGAAAATTTTTTTCTTTCCTGATGAAATTAAGAAATAACTAGATAAAATATAATAAGAAATATCAGTTTGTATTAAAATTAAATTACGTAGATTTGTTTTGGAACTCGAGGGTGGCAACGGTAATATTTGAAAAGAAAAGCTAAGGAAGACATATACAAAGTTACAGACAAAAATCAGAAGCACAAACGTAAATATAAAATAAGGGCATGTTTGGTGCAGCTCCTAAGAGTTTTAGATTTTACACATTATTTATGTTTCATGAATTTAAATTTTTTTTTAAAAACTTACACTTTTAAATATTTTTTTAATCTTAAAAAACTCTTAAACAGTAAAAACTCAAAAGTTTCAAATCAAAATTTTTCATAAACTCTCTTTTTACTTACTTTTCACTTACTTTTTCACCTTTCTAAAAGCTAAAACTCTATTTTTCCTTCAGTAAAAATTTAAACTTATTACTCATAACAGTACTAAAAAAACTAAAGTTCCCACCAGCCACACCAAACAGGCTCTAAGTACCTTAATTTTAATGCTAAAAGCTGAGGTCCGAGGAGATGCCTTCTAACTTTGAACAAGATAAAAAAAAGAGTGATGTGTGTTGGATGGTGGAAGAGGCAGAATGCAGAGACGGGTCTTAATTGGATACATTCTGCTTTGATTTTAGTTTAGTGATTGCTCTTCTTTGATTGATTCCATCCCACCGATTTCTACTACAAACAAGGCAAAAGAGCGACTATTTATCTGAGATGCATAAACCAATAATCATATTATAAAGATAGGAAAAAGGCGGATGTATTAACCGAAAATTATATAAGATGCACGTAATTAAGTAAATACATAAGTACTTCTTCCGATTATTTTTAAGAATACTAATTTGATTTTGTGATTTTTAAATATAAAATTTAAATAAAAATTAATTTTTATTTTTTTAATAATAATTAATATAAAAATATAATAATTATATTTTTAACTTATGTTTTAAAAATATAAATTAAGAACTTATTAAATATATTTTTTATAATAAATTTGTATTAAAAAATAAAAATTAACCTTTAATTTTTCAATTATTTAATTAAATTTATTTATGTAACATTAATTTTAAAATTAATATTTATTTTTATATTTTTATATAAATTTATTATAAAAAATATTTTTAATTTATGTTTTAAAAATATAAATTAAAAAATCTTTTGTTAATTGATCTAATTCATTATGAAACGGAAATGAACAGCTTTTTTTTTTTCTTTTTTTTTTTTCTCGAACATGGCACTTTGAGTTTGAAGAAAAAGAAAATATCATCCATGAGATTTAAAATTGTAATTCATGGGAGATGCTTACCACTCGGTCAAGGATATCGACTCCTAGAGTAAGGTGCGAGGATCGATGAACAGCATTTTCAATCCATGTGCAACACCGCAAGAACGCGGAAATTTGGGTCCAACCATGGTAATTCACTCTCCACTCAACACGACGATTAAATAGAAAAAATAAAATAAAATAAAAATATTTAAATAAAAAATTAAAATTAGTTATGTTAATTAAAAATTACTAAAATTTGAATTTTTAATTAAAAGAGAAAAACTTTATATGCTTATTTTGCATCTTTTCTGAAATATATTTTAAGGAAAACACAG